CATTTAGTATACTTGTGGGGAATACTTAAAAGGAATTTTTGTCCTTGATGATGACAGGTGAAATGAATATTAAAATGTTTAAGCTTCATTAAAAGATATAAATTTTAGAAGCTAGAACTGAAAATATCATAGAGCTTCTGGTTGGCTCTTGCAGAGGGAATTTATTGGCAGTCAGCCCTGACTGATACATCTGATCTCAATGTGATGGATTCAGACTTTCCTACAAAAAATAGCTGTATGTTTGTATAAAAGAAAGAGCACTTTGTCATCTTGTGACTGAGAAATACTGGAATACCAGTTCCTTGGTGTTCCTCCTTCAGTGATACAAGTAAAAGCAAACTTGCAGAAGAGGGTTATCCTTGTAATGAGGGTGTAAACCTGTGACTCAGGAAACCACGGCTTGCTTTCTTGTTCTGGTGTTGACACCTTTGTCGCCTTGACTGAAGCATTTCAGCTGCCTGCAAAACAAGAAAGATGGGAGAATGAATGTCGTAGTGACTGTGAGATTGCAACTGATTGATTGTGAAATCTCAATTTACTGTGAAATTACAGGGATAATACAAATAAAGAAAAATTCAGATGTCAGACAGATCAGTTGAGGTCAGGGAAGAATAGCATAACCTTGGTTCTGCCAGGTCTTTTGCAGTACACAGTGTTGTAGGTTCTAAAGTTAACAAATGTATAAACAGATTGCTAACAATCCCATGGATTTTTTTCTTGTTTGTTTTAAAGCAAGAGGAAGAAAGCCAGTTTCTTTGGGAATTGATTTTTTTTTTCATGTGTCATTATTGCAAAGTTTTGTTGAATAATAAATGTGTTTCTTTTAAGTATTTGTCAGCATTTGGAATGGCACCTTTAAAAGTTGTTTCTGTCTATGTTTTTCAAACATCAGGTCTGCCCAATGAGTAAGACTCCCCATGTGGACCCAAACAAGTCTGGCCATGAAGTCTGGGAAGAGTTTTCCCTGAGTTTTACTCCTGCAGTGAAGGAAGTGGTGGAGTTCGCCAAGCGCATCCCAGGTTTCCGAGATCTCTCCCAGCATGACCAGGTCAATCTTCTGAAGGCTGGAACCTTTGAGGTGAGACCACTGTGTGTATATTGCAAACCTGACAAGCTGAGCATCAGTCTGACACTGTAAGAACAGAACCAAATGGAACTGGGTTACATCAGGTGAAACCAGCTTGTTCATGGATGCTCTGAGCATTCTCTGAGGTGATGGTGTCCAAGGGATCTGTGACAGGTCAGACCTTGGTGACCTGTCCCTCTTCCAGTGAGCTCAAAACTGCTCAGCTCTTCTACCCTTCCCTCTTCCCTGGGCTTTAATAAATGCATAATTAGGGGTTTCTAGCTACCTTTGCTTACTCTGGGGAGCTGTACTGCACCTGAAGGGTGGATAGGTTAGAAAGCTGTCTACTGAGTTAAAAGTTTTGTCGAGTATTGTGTTTACTGCTCTGCATGTCCTTCCTTGTGCCACTCTGCTTCCTGCAAAAGCCAGAGTATCCAATCCTGACCAGTCACCACTTTGGTGGCAACTTGGGAGTGTCTGAAGCTTGCATGTCCAATACAGTAACAGTGGTAACTACCTGTACTGCTGCAGCTCTGTAGATACTGTGTGCCAGCTGCAGCCTGACTTACTCTAGACTAATCCCACTAGGTCCTCGTGGTTAATTGCATCCACTTGTGGTCATGACGTATATGTGAATTAGTGGTATTAATTTGGAAATGATACCACAGAGCTTGGTGCTGTTTTGTAATTAGTGGCCTTCACTAGGTGACCTTTACATCATGTTTTAGTTGCCCTTCCAGACCCTTGTCTACTGGAGACTGTACGCATTTCATGAATATTCAAATGTGAAATTTGAATAGAGAGGGTCAGAGGAGCCAAAGTCCCAAGTATTTGATGTTACTGTGCTTTTCTGGGGAGTGTAGCATTGGTGATGCCTTTGCTCTTGTTTACATGATTTATTCTTTCAAAGAGAGATGCTAGATTTTATGTTTACCTGAGATGAAGACATTTCTCATGTGATGTATTGGGTCTTCTATCTACATTTATACAGCCTGGTTCTAAAATGGATAATTGTTGGGTTGGAAGGTACAAGTTATACAAGTTGAATACAAGTTGCCTGGTGTCTGTTAGTTTTCTTGTTTCCTTCATTTTGCTCTCATGTATTTTTTTCTGTTGTACTTATTCTTGACCTTTTAATATTCAACTCCTGTAGTGAAGGGGCTATATTTTTACTTCTTCACTATTTTCACCTTACACAAATAGGTTGGTTCCTTCCTCTGCCAAGGAGGAGGAGGGTGAAAAACTTGGTTTGAACTGTCCCTATAATGTCAAGTAAAACGTTTTGTCTTGACCTTGCTTCACCTGAAGCTTTTCTCAGGCCTCACTCATATGCATTTTTGCCAGTTACAAGCATTGCTGATAAGGAGGTTTCTATATCCAGGGGAATTAGTAATTATGTATGGCTGCATGCTTGTCACTGTTCACTTATTTATAAGAAACGTTTATGATTCCCGTTAGTGAGCTACAACTTGTAGTTAAAGGCCTATGTGGCATCTTAGCAACAGGAAAAAAAAAACAGTAGGGCTGCCTAACAGTGGAAAAAAATCCCCAGTGGGATTAATGAAACCATTGCGATAGAGGCAAAAGCATTTTGAAAGCCTGGTGCATCCAAGGTCATTTCTGTCTTCTGGGTAACTGAACCAGGATGTTCCAATGTCTGCATGTTGATAGAAGAACTCAAGTGAAAGTGCTGCCTCCAAGTCTGGTGTGGCTGGCTTGGCACTGTGCTTCTTAGCAGCTCGTGTTCGAGGAGTGCCTGTTCCTTTGAGGGTAAGAGGACACATGGAGACAACGTTGGTGCAGAAGCTGCACAGCTATATATATTCACACACACGTAAGCTAAAAAGGTCTCTTAGAACTGGGAGTACTGGGGAGCTCAGTGTATCGTGGTGGCATTTGCATGGCTTCTTAGGAGAGCCAGCTTAGAAACAGCAGTGAGCCTAAAATAAAGAACTTGACTGGTTTTGAGTGGGCCCTCTTCCATCTCCCCCCCAAATGTAGTTGATGGTAGAGTTAACAAGGCCCTTGGATCCCTTTGAGTAGTGACTCAGATTTGACTGCAGCTGGTAGAGAAATGATCAAGCAACCTCCAAGAGTGGAGGTTTTTATGTGGCCTGCTGTGGTCAGGTGATAGGATTGATCAGGTGTGTCCTCAGCATGTGCAAGTATGAGCTTGGTTTGAAGTGAAATGGATGAATCAATCCTGTGCTATGCCGTAGTCCAAACTATTATTCCTTGTTTAGAGTGGTGGCATTGAAATAGGTGAGGTCTTTGCCTTGGAATAAGTCAGCACAACTTCATGGGCTTCAGTTTTGAATACCAGCACTAATCCTGGTTGCTCCTTGTTTGAAGATGTTTTTAAAGCCCAATTCTATAGGGAGAATACCGTTTTGAACTGAAAGGTTGCTGGATACCTGGTGGGTCTGTGCTAATGCACAAGTTCAGCTTTGTCTGCCTGCCCTTTGCCTGTTTTTTTTTTTTGTATTCTGATGGCTTCTGCATCTGGGTTTCTGCACTCTGTAGTTAATGTCATCAGAGGACAGATAGCTTAGCTGACAAAAGTGAATAGTATGTGGTGGTGTTGTATCTGTCAAGGTTGCTGCATGTTGTTTGGCTTGTAAAATTTAGGAGCAGGTCATGTAATGTGCATGAACAGTGTTTGAATTCTCAAACATTTTCATTTGTTTTGAACACTCCTTTCTTTAAGCTTGTCAAAAGCACTAGTCCTTGCAAACCTGGTTCTCCTCTCACCTGTAGTAAACATTTGAATTAATGCAGTTAATAGGGTAAATGAGAAAACTGTCACACCAAGAAATGACAGCAAGTCTGAAGTTTTAACCAATGCCAGTTAGTTTTCTTCAAATAAGAAGGCTGTTCTGTGCAACTTAAACCTTGTAAATGTAAATAAGGTTGTTGAACATGAACAAATGAAACTTCACAAGCCATTCCAGAGGGAAGCATTTCACAGTACAACTGAGAAGCCACAAGAGAAATTTCAGCCCAAAGGGGTAAGTTTAGCACACCTCAACTGCTCCAGCCCAGGTGCTTGCACCAAAGGGGTATTCCCAGCTGCTGCAGACCAGGTGCCATCTCAAGCTGTGCTTCCCCAGCCTTTTAAAAGCTCTACATGTGGCTCCTTTCTAGCAGAGCTCGTTAACATTCCTGTGGGTACAGTGATGTGGCATGGTACTTTTTCCAAAGAATGCCTAGGGGGCCCAATCATCAGGTGGTGTAAATCAGCATTGTTTCCATAGAGCTGCTCCACTTTACACCAAGTGAGAATCTGGTTCAGTACCTTCATTTTGTTCCTCGTGAGTGTGGCCAGGAAAACATTTCTTTGAATGCTCTGTATGCCTTTGGCCGTTGTGTGGCTCAAGCAAGTTGTCCTACTCGCATATTTATGAATGACATGGTCTGTGTGGCTCAGGCTGTCTGAGGCTTAAATTTTAATTTTCCTGCCTTTCATATGCTGTAGCCCGTCCCCTGCATCCACTCCCTAATTTTGTCACTTGTTTGTTTCTCTCAGATTACGGGGCCAGAGCTTGCACTGTGTTTTGCAGCTCAGTAGCATGCTGACAGTTTCTGTATAGAATGCTTTTAGAATGGTTAACGAGACACTTTGAATGATGTTTGAAAGTTCAATTTTTTTCTTTGGCTTTTCTAGAAATGCACCTACATTTATCTGGTTTTTTTGTTACTCTTTTTTTCTTTCACCAGGTTTTAATGGTACGATTTGCATCTTTGTTTGATGCAAAGGAACGTACTGTCACCTTCCTGAGTGGCAAGAAGTACAGTGTGGATGACTTGCATTCAATGGGAGCTGGTGATCTGCTCAACTCAATGTTTGAATTTAGTGAGAAACTAAATGCCCTGCAACTTAGCGATGAGGAAATGAGTTTGTTTACAGCGGTTGTCCTGGTATCTGCTGGTAAGGAGAGAAAGTTAACTTCCACCTTTGCCAAAAATTGAATATGACTCCCTGTTAAATGTTTTCTGTAAAATGTGTACCCTGTTATTTCCTGCCTAAGTGCAGTTGTGTAGGTTTTAAGGTAGTAGCAGCCTGTAATGTACTTTTTAACATGCCTAGTCTTTCTAATACTGCCTTTAAAAAAAAAAGATGACGATGGGCTTATGTTTTCCTGCTGCTTTCTACGTATTGCAAAAACAAATAGCTGCCACATGGCCGTTTAGATGCTATTTGTCTAACTCCTCTAAGTTTCACAGGACAGCATCACTGAAATTACTCCTGACTTGCACAGCATAAGTCTTTGGATGAGGTGGTATTTTTGCTTCCAAGTATTGTCATTTAAGTCTGTTGCGTATTTTACTTAAGTCTAAATCCAACAGTTTGATCTCTGCCTATGTCAGCAAGAAAGCCCTATCATCTGCATCGTGACTTCTTACCACTAAAGGCTGTCAATCCACTGACATCTTCACCAGCCTCCTATCTTGTTTCAGTCCCTGGATAGACAAAGCACCCTGGCCCAGATTCAAAGAAGGATTAAGCACCTACTTCTGTAGTATTATCTCAAGCCTCAAATTAGGCACATTAGCTCTGCATATAATGCCTGCAATGCAAGATGCAGAATCCCTGCTTGCTGGGTTAGAAGCTCTCTAAAGGTAGATTGCAGGAATGCTCACAGCACCCACTTAAGACAGTGAGCCAGCAGCTGGGGAGCACTGAACTCCTTGAACAAGTGCACCCCTTTCACATGAGCAATTTAGACCCACGTGTCCTCAAGCAGGGGCACCCAGGCATGATGCTGTAGGCACATAAGGCCTCTGTAAGAAGGTAGGACAGTTCAGTCTAATAGCTTTGTGCATGGCTGAACTGAAATGTCAGAGCATAGGACAGAGCAGCTGTTGCCTCTTCATTTTGTAAGCCGTGATAATGAGCAGAGGGTGGCACAGAGTTAGCAAGCTTCAAGAGCCAGAGCAAATGGCAGTGTGAAGGCAGCATTATAGGAAGGCACTGTAATCTGAAGGAAGCATGGAATCTCTTAATGAAAATGTTCAGGTAGCAGGGGGAAACCGGAGGTCTTAGTTGCCTTTCCAGACTCTGGAAGTTCTTGACAAGAACTGGAGGCAGCCTTTAAAATAAGGACTGACAACCAGGTCTCTCCCCTTCTTGTGCACTCTTAACTAGGCTTACAGCCATTCTTCTTGCTTGCTCAGCTCCTGGGTCCTAGAATATCTCATTCTCTGTGCCACCTGTTTTCAGCCAAAGTGGCTGTATCTGTTCTGTTAAATGCGCTTCTAGCACAGTGCCATCTCCCCCGCCTTTAAAGCGCTGTGCTGATTGCCAGCTCCCAGCAGGGGTTAGCTTAGAGATGGCATGTAACGTGTACAGCATGTAGTGTCAGCCATGCAACAGGACAGAGAGAAAAGGTGTTTGGTATTCAGGCTTCTTGCAGTTGCTGAGGATTTTTCAGATCACATTTTGGGTATTATTGCTGCCTATCTTAGCTACCTCATGGTCTGATCTGCAGTCTGATCACAACCTTCCTGGACAGCTTCACAAAATTTTATAAAGGACAGCTTTATTAGTCAATGTTGGGGCTGTATTCCAGACACAAAGCTAATCCTGATGATCACTGTGAGTTCAAAAATCTTCAGAGCAACTTTACTCTATGAGACTGGATCGAAATGCTGCAGTTGTTACTTTGCACAAGTGAGTAAACGAGCAGGCTTCATGCTCAGGCAGGTACTGAAGAACAGAAGTGGCCTCAGCAGAATTCCTGGGGAAGATGCTCACAGTGCGAGGGAGTGCCAGGAGGAGAGAAGGTGCCTGTAGAACCGAAGGATTGTAGGCATGGCATGTATTGATTAAACAGATCTTGAAAGACAGATCCCTGCATACCACTCTTCGAGGAGTAGTGTAACCAAAAAAGTAATGTCCTGTAAGGGGAGGTGGCACTTTGTTGGAAACAAGAGTTGAAGAACAGGATTGGAGAGAATGACATGGAGGAGGCAGGCAAAGGAAAAAATGCCATAAATGTAAGAACTGAAGGTGGAAGAAAAAGGCCATTATGACTGCTTCTCAGAATGAAAGTTGTTCAAGAGAAGACTGAAAGGAAGATAGTAGTCAAGATTTCAAAAAGTAGAAAGAAGAGTGACTGATTAAGTGATCCACAATATAAAGTACCATGCTGCACTAATTAAAGATCCTTTTAAAGACTTTTAGCTGATTAAAATTAAGAAAAAAACAAAACCCACCAATAGAAATTAAGTCTCTAAATACTGCTGTTTGGGAGAACACTTGTCAGAAGCACCTCCACTTAACACTGGATGAATAACCACTCGTAGGGTGGAGTATTTAGAACGTGCTGAAGAAGCAGGGGTAGTAGCAAGGACTGTGTGTAGCTCTGTACTTCCTCTCCTTTCCATGTCATACGGCAAAGAAAGAAAAAGCAGGATCACACTTGGGTCGTGCTGAGGAGTTATCTGTGTACCATTCCAGAATTAAAAGAATTCTTCATCTCTGGCTTCAGTTAGGTGGATGTGTTGAAGATGGAGGAGAGGTAGCAAGGTGGATCATTGAAGGAGGAAACTGAAGGAGGAAAAAGCAAGGCGGAAGCAGAGCTGAAAGAATGTGGTTTGTGCAGGTCTAGAGACCAGATAATCCCTTAACTAAGGGTCTTGCTTTGTGGTAGAAGAATATAAAAGTACACACCCTCTATTACTCTCCCTTACTGGCATAATACTAACGAAATCTTATGCTGGCCACTGGGAGCAACTGGAAGTAGACTGAGAGGGAGAAAAAAGACTTGGACTAATTGAAGCAAGGAGGCTGCAGTAATTCACCTGAGGCCAGAAAAGGCTGGGCTGGATTCTTCTACCTTCAGAGGCATTCTCAGTGTACAGAGCTCTCGTGAAACTCTGTTGGGCATGTTCTAGACAAATGTCATTGTACCTGCCTGGAATAGAGCAAAGCTTTTGCAGAGCAGGGGGGTAAATAGGAGAGATCCTTTAATAAATAAAGGCAACGAGATGTCTGCTCACGTTCTCTTAGACAGCAGCAGCTGTCAAACCTAATGGACAGTCCTCACAGAAGAGTGGAATGTGTGCTAATGAAAATTGTTTAATGGTAACCAGAACTCCTAATTGTAGAAGATTCTGGAACAATCTTCCTAAAGGAACAAAATAATGTAACTGCTTTGAGATGCATACTTAAGTGGATTATGTAATAATTTTTCCTGTAGCAGTAGGGAGCTGCACTGAGTAGTCCAGGAGGACTTCCTAGACTGTTCACCTGAGCAATCTGATTGGATTGCCACTGACAGCATAAGGAAGGGATTCCCACTCTGACTGTAGGATCTGACTCAGTGTTACTCCAGAAAGCTGTTGTCATTCCATGTCCCAGTTCTGCAAAGTGCTTAAGTACATGTACACATCAAAGCACATTTCTGTTTGTGCCAGTCACTCGGCTCTGTATGTGCCCTGCTGAATTTACATAGTGTTTAAGAAAAGAAGCTGCAGCTTGGAAAAAAACCAGCTACTGTGCATGGTTATGAGGTGAGATGTTTTACTTAAAAATTCATCCTTTCAAGCCGCTTACTTAGGTTCCACCTAATGATACCAGGTGTGTTCTTAAATACAGCTCTCTTGAAAAAAAAAAAAAAAACGCTTCAGGCATGGTGGGAGTGCAGTATGTGAGAACATAATATTTGTCTCGATGTTGACATTCTTCTTTTCCTCAGCTGGGAATTTTTGGGTGCATCGTGTTTCATTTTGTAAGTGCTTCAGAACACGCTTGGAAATAGTGCCCATTCATATGAATGCTTGTACTCCCTTTGCCCCTGAGAATCCCATTGTGCAGATAACAATTGTGGCTTGTCCCGAGTGGGATTTCCTCCTCAAACCTTCGGTTCAAGTTTAGGGTTCTATATCTAGCCTTAAGAAATGTTTGAAAGTTTTTTTACTTTCGTGTGCCCTGTCTTTCTCCTTGGGTTGAAAGCTGTGATTCAGCAACATATTTAAACATTTGCTTCAATCTGTCCTTCTCTGGAAACATGGATTAGGGATCACAGAAATAGTGATTGAATGCTGCCAGTTTGGCATGAACTTAGTACTTTGAAAAGTTAATGCTGAATAACCTTTGAAAGACTTTTGGTGTGTGATTTAAAACTTCTGGCATAAGTATCTTGATTTTTCTTGTGCTTGTTAATTTAGTAAGGGATTCTTACTGCCCTGATTTTATGTTGCAGGCTACATCTGCTCAGTCAATTTTTCCCCCCCCACCCTCCTGTTTTTTAATTTCTCTCTCTCCCTCTCTCTCTCTGCCTTTGGTTTAGATCGCTCCGGAATAGAAAACGTCAATTCTGTGGAGGCACTTCAGGAAACATTAATCCGTGCATTAAGGACCTTAATTATGAAAAATCACCCAAATGAAGCCTCTATTTTCACAAAACTTCTTTTGAAATTACCCGACTTGCGTTCCTTAAACAACATGCACTCTGAAGAACTGCTGGCCTTTAAAGTTCACCCATAGGCCTTTAGGTCTCGTTTGTACTTGGACTTGCCTCGTGTTAAACTGTTTTGTGCTAAAATATGTATTTATACAGTTGTACCACTTGTTGGAGAGAGTTCACAGACTGTGAACAGTTGATAGCTGTCCCATAACCATGCAATAAAGCTTTGGCAGGTGCTTTCAGCTGACGGCAGGGCAGCACAGCCTTCGGAATCCTCCGAGGCATCCAAGCCCAGCTGTGCTGCACTCCTGCAGAAGAGGCTGTGATGAGCCCCAGCCAATATGGACTCTCCTTTCATTTAGGAAACAGAACCACCACTGCCCTCTCATGTAAACTGAATGCAAAGTAGCTGTGTATGTGCTTATGGAGCATGGAATGGGGTGGGAACAATCCTGTGCTAATGGGAAAATGGAAGAGCTGATTTAATTGGTCTTTCACTTATCTAATAGATGTATGTCCGTGTCTCTTGATAACTCACTCATGGTTTCACTATTGTTATTCCATTAAACCTGATGGAATGGTTTCAGCCTGCACCAACTCTTCACTGAGCGTGTGTTCATGCCATGTGTATATAATATAAATAGTTCAGTAGTGAGTGTTTATGGCTATATACAGAGTTGTGTGTATATATGTGTATGTATATAAATAGTTCTATACATAAAGTATACATATAATTTCTTCACAATATTTTAAACTGTGAAGGAATTTAAACTTAAAACAGAAGGTGATCTATGGAAAGAACCAAATAGATGCACTTTGCATATTGCTGAACTAATTATCTGAGCATTTTTTAGAAAACATCAAATTTGCATTAATATGCTGTGTTTGTTAATTTAAAAAAAAACAAAAAAAACAACAACCAAGAGTGGCACTAAAGAGGCAGAGTCAGATTCAACTTCCAGAAGGGTTTTGTAGAGAATCTCAAGCAGATATGGTTGGTTGTGGCACTAATGAGATGGATTGTCCATTGCCACTGAGGTTCTTGTGTTCTCATATAGGTTAAATAAGTACCAGATGCTCTTCAAAAACTTCAGCACAGCCAGAAAGAAACTATCAAATGAATAGCAAAGTCTATAAGAAAATGAAAAAATGGGAAAAGTGTATCCATGGTTGCATTTGGGTGTATGTGTGTTCTGTGACTTGTTTATTTCTTGCAGTACATCATTTCGCTGCTTCATTGCTAAATGAGAATTGAAAACATAAATGTGAGATTCCCCACATCTTTTCACCATTTGGGCTTTGTGGTTCCCATGCCTGTTCTTCTGGAGCTCTCCATTGGTGCGTGTGCATGTGAGCGTGTGTGATGTGCAGAGAAGGTGCATTAGATGGTCTGGTTTTTGTTTTTTTTTTCCTTGAAAAAACACCACAAAAAACAACCAAACAAATGGGACGTTTTCTTGTTGTTTATGCCAGTAGCAAATTACAAAGCAGATCCACAAGGCTTAAGATTCTGCTGCTTTTCCATCTAGGAAAGCAGCTCTCTATGGGGTTTTTTCCATTTGTAGCAGGACCTGGCACCAGAAAAGAGAGATGAAAAGAAGTTAAAGCAGTTATGTTAATTAGTTACGTTTATGTTTTGCTAATGTGGGAAGAAGATGCTCCATCACCCTTGTTCGGTTAACTTGCCTTAGAGGCAGCCCTCTGGGTCTCTAGCGTTTGGTAAAGCTGCTCTTTGGAGGGAGTCTGCTCCTGGTAGTCAGGGCTAGGAAGCCTCCAGCCTGCAGAGCTCCTGCCTGTACCACGGTGGGTTGAGAGGAGCCTCCTGCCCGTGGTGGAGCTGCAGCAGCAGCGGCAGACCTGTGCCTGCTGCTCGGCATCAAGATCTGGGGTGGGAAGAGGGAGGGCTTGCACTCTGCCATGCTCCCCTGGCCTTTGGGCTGGGGATTCCACCTCAGACAGGAGGAAGGGGCTGAGAGCAGGCGGGGCAAGTGCTTGATAGAGGTGGGGAAAATTCAGCTGTAGCCTTGCTAAGGAGCAGAAGAGCCCACCCTTTCCCCTCCTCTGCAGCTGCTGCAGGCAGGGCTGTCCTGCTTCAAGCTGCTTTAACCACCGGGTAATGGCCCCTTCCTACATACAGTTTTGCTACCCAAATGTGCTATCGGGGCATATTGTCCTAATTTCTGTTAACAGTCTGCATCTTGCCAGTATTATTTGTTTGAGAGCTTCACTGAATTATGCATCGAACCGTTCAGATGTTAGAGAGGACACAGTCACACGGTTTTTATTATTTAGTTGCTGAAATTACTTCTTTGCAGACCCCATTTCAGACATGGAAAGTACAGTTAGCCCGTGGTTGTTTCGGGAGGGAAGAAGGCTTCTTAAAGAGATTGCCACCCTACAGCTGTGTTTTGTTGTGTTTTGTTTTATTTTTTTTTTCTTCTTAAAACTGTATTATTAAGCCTTTAGGAATGTATAACCAGGACTGAGTAATTACTGCTTATTAAATTTTTTTAGTTAGATTGACCATGTATGCCTATAGATAGATACTCTAACTTGTGCAATTTCATTTGAAATAATCTTCCTGTACATAATGGAAAAACTCACATAACAGAAAAAAAAAAAAAAAGCCCCAAACAGATTGACTGAACAAAAAGCTGATTAAAGTATGGTTCAAAAGTGACCCATGTATTACAAACCCTAGCTGGACTCTTAGAAGAAAATCTAAACTCATTGTGTTAGCTGTGTATTGTGAGCTCTTCTTTTACTGTGTCACTGGTTATACACTTGTTAAATGCTGAGATAATAGACTTCATGCCAGGCATTTGAGTACTGTAGATTGGGTCATTGCTGAAAGATTAATGTACTGTATGAACTTAAATGAAATTTTTATTCTTGATTTTATTCTTGATTTTGTTCTTGTTTTAAAAGATTAAATATGGGCATTATGTCAGCAAGCTAAACTTGTGTGTCTGTGTTCTTTGTATTTTTCTGTACGAAATCTGGTGGGGAGGACAGCACGCTGTGATGAACAAAGCAGAAGAGATTTTCTTCTGGATGAGAACATCAGCTGCTGTGAGGTCACGGGGCTGAGCTGGGGCACAGCAGCAGGGAGAGCCAACATCTCCCTGTCTGTGGTATTGCTCTGTCTTCCCAGGTGTTTGGATGGGGTTTTCTGGTACACTTCAATTGCTACAGTCACAGGGCTTTTTTTGGGTAGGTCGTTAAAATAGTTTTTTTAAACACTTCATTCATGTGAAGAATATAACTTTGTGAACAGGATAAAACACTAAAGAATAAAATTGAAAAAAAAAATTGTTTGGTTAAGACAAGTACTTGGGTTATAAGAGAGGTAGAACAAAAGCAGAATAGGATGGGCAAAGATCTGTTATTTTTCCAGCTTGATTTCCTAGTTTTAGAACGTGCACTCTTTTAGGAGATAAGAGAAGCTTCTCTAGGAAATGTTGTGTCTACTGGTATTTTCAAAAAAAGGCACACACCAAAAAAAGTTGAACAAAATTATGACTGCCAGCATTGTAAAAAATAACAGCATAAAAATGCTTTTTTTTCTTTTTTTTGTGGCATATTTTCTCTGATACCATGTTTGCAGATGGCTTTCCTTGTTGCCACAAAGTCTGAGCCCCTGTGAATAGCGCCACAAGGCACAGAGGTTCCAGGACTTGGGAGGTCCTTGGGAAGAGCTCTTTGCAATTCTTGAGTTGGGCCACAAGTAATTCTTCCCTGTTTGGCTGCAAGAGCCTTACCACAGCAAATGGTGGGGGTAGGAAAGGCATTTCCCAGCAAAAACATGATTCTGTTGCCCTCATTCTCCCAGTCTGGCAGGATGCTCTGGGGATGGGAGATGGAAGTGTCTGTGCTTGTTCATGGGCAATGTGCTGGGCTCTGAGTCTGGGCTGTCCTCACTGCACCAGGAAATGGCGAATGTCACAAGGAAAACAGAGGTATGAGTGTTCTGTGTGAAAGTGTAAACTGATGAGGGTGTGGGCAGCCGGCTACCTCCTGTTCTGGCTCAGGACCCAGGGGCTGTGCTGGGCTGGAGGGAACCGGCGTTTGCAGCTCCACCGCAGAGCGCCTTGATTACAGAAACAGTTCCTACAAGGAAGTAATTGGCACTTCCCCTTCTTTGATGAGTACAGCGAGCAGCTGCAGAAGCCTTCATCACTGAATGCCGCCTTTTTTTCCCTTTTAATTTGCTTTTTTGTATTTCAAGGTGAAGTTTGGAGTGGGAAGGAAGAACATGCAGGTCTAAGGAGAGCCTGGAGGCAGCCGCTGGCAGCTGACTGAGCTGCAATGGGCAGCTTGTGGAAAGCACTGTGGAAGCTGTGCTTGCTGGGCAGGAAAGTTGGTCAAGGACACAGACACATCACCGGCAAGTGAGGAGCTGAGCAGATGTGTGTGGAGGCTGAGAGGCTGCACATTCCTGGTTATTTGGAACAAAAAATCCCCATTCACGTAATGAAAAGCTCCTCCGTGCAGACACTGCTCTGCCACACCAGGTTCCTTCACAGAGCAGTTTATACCTGCTGTAAATGCACACCCTAATTGTTTGTGAATGCACAGCTTGCACTGCTATGGGGCTGGACTCCTGCCTGTTCTGTCCTGTTCTGTCTCCTGCCTGGCCTGAATTCCCACGGCAGGGTTTGCTGCCCTGCATTGCACCCCAGGACTGCCTTTGCCTCTGGCTGGAGGGGGATCCTCAGGGGATTACTTGTAAAGTTAAATGTTTAAAACTTGATGGGGGGGTTAT